TCACTGACTCACCACTTCTTGGCTGTGTTCTCTCTGAGTGTCAACTCACTGACTCTCCACTGCGTGGCTGTGTTCTCTCTGAGTGTCAACTCACTGACTCTCCGCTCCTTGGCTGTGTTCTCTCTGAGTGTCAACTCACTGCCTCTCCACTTCTTGGATGTGTTCTCTCTGAGTGTCAACTCACTGACTCTCCACTTTCTGGCTGTGTTCTCTCTGACTCCTCTATCTTAGTGTGTTCTCTTTCTAACTCGCTATCTAAGTATACGTGTCCTCTTTCTAACTAACATCTCTCTATATATATATATCCATTCCACATAAAAACTAAGAAGGACTCTAACATTCAAATCAACTATAATAATAATTTCTATTGGTAAACTATTAAATAAGGATGGGACTTATCGTCATGAGATAGACTGCCGTCAGGTGGTCAAATGTCCACTTGCCAATGGAGGTTCCCAGGCTTCAGTCTGTACTATCAATAATATCTAATGATGCAAATCTCCCTTGCTCTTTTCACTACTCTAAAGTTTGCGTCCTGTCCTTTCATCATCAACACCACCATCCCTACATTCTCTCACAATAACACCTTGTCCTCAACAGTCCGTCTTTCATTCTTTCACTTTCATCTGACATCAATTCAATTGTTTTCGCTTACATCAATTCTATCAATTTCTCCAACATTACTTATTGTAATTATATAACAGATATTACACCAATCCTACTTTATCATACTGTCATAGAAGGATCAGATAGCTTCCGACTTATTTGTGTTGATTTTTATACATACTTTACCCAATTAACCATGGAATGGCTATAATACTTTTGTTTCCTGGTCCCTGTCCTGCTCCTCCAGCAGATTTGATGTCGTAACACGAGTAAACAACTGGAACATTTTTTCTCATTTCCAACCATTGCAAATGTTAGTCTTGCTAGTTTAACCTGTGAAAACATTATTATTTTCAGATGGGAAAAGATAAGCAATATCCTCAGTGAAAATGATTTCTCTACGCCACCTTGGAGAGCAAAACGTAATGTATTGATCTGAACATCTGATTTGTATTCAAGATTTACATATATGTCAACACATGTGTGAAATATTTAGATCAACCATTGGCATACATGTAGGACTATTAACTGTTTGTAAACAGGCATTAGACATATTCAAAAACGAGTAAAACGTGTGTGTACATCGCCAATAGACATGCCGTTAAGGTCCCTAGTATCAAATTTTAGAACTATGTGTAAACGAAAACCATCAGGGCAAATATTTCTAAAATTATATTTGGACACGTGGTGAACTGTGTTGAAAAAAGCACCACCATGACCACAGTTTTTAATGGGGTTTTTGTGATACGATGAAATGTGTACAGTATATATAGTTGTTATTAAATTGTGAACTATTTGTAGATCGACACCGCCAAGACCTATATTTCTCGTATCTTTTGTTGTGAGACTGTAAATAAGTACCACCAGAACAAAACTTTCTGGTATCGATTTTTTCTGATAGTTATACGAAGTAAACAGATTGTCTTGTTAAACTGTTCAGTGCCTGAAAGATATATACAACTCAACTCTCTTGAACTAAACGCCTTTCAGATCACATAGAATTTGGAATGATATGTTGCTGTGTAGTATATACTGTCAGTTTATCAGCTCTATTTTTCGGTACAGGTGACAAGTCAACCGTCACACTGGAGATATTTTTTTCTCAAATACGAAGTATAGGTGTCCATGTAAGTAAAGCACCGCCAAGTGTCTCAGACTGATGACATATAAATTATATTAATTTCCCTAAAAAGTAATATATGATACCTTAAAATATTAAGTAGCGTGTGTCTTCTAGCAGACTTAGTCCGTTGGTTCACAAATTAATCCTAGGTTTAAAGTGAAACCATTTTTATTTTTTTTAATATTTCCTTTATTTGCCATTTAAATATTTTGACAAATATAATGAATTAGTTTATACATTATTGATATGCTTCCTCGTTCAATCATCTCAAGCATTATCAAAATGATTACATTATTTAATATTTCATTTATTTATTTATTATTTTATTAACTACTTTGAAGAAGATGGAGTTTATGTTTAATATCTATCAAACCTGGATGGATACCAGATTAACCTACGAATCTAATGATCCGAATGACATAGTAGAAATCAGCAGCCGACACTGGAACAAAGTTTGGCAGCCAGATCTTTATCCTGATAATGATATTTCGTCGTATAGCCATCATGTTTCAAATGTCAACAAGTTGCTGTGGGTTTTACCTAATGGAAATATGACACTAGGGCTAAGGTATGTGAGATAAGTGACAAAAGAGCAAAGGTGATACTATTTACACTATTACTAACGTACGTCAATTCAGTTACACTAGGGCTAATCAAGGTAAGACTAGTTACACTAGTACTAAGACACGTCAAATCAGTTACACTAAGTCTTTGGTGTGTCAGATAAGTGCCTCAAGGGCTAAGATATGTCAGATATATAGTGACCCTAGTGCTAAGGTTTGTCAAATCAGTTACACAAGAGCTAGGGTCAGACTTGTAATACTAAGGCACGTCAAATCAGTTACACTAGTGCTAATGTTTGTCAGATCAGTTACAAAAGAGCTAGGGTCAAACTTGTAATACTAAGGCACGTCAAATCGGTTACACTAGTGCTAAGGTTTGTCGGATCAGTTACACAAGAGCTAGGGTCAGACTTGTTATACTAAGGTTTGTCAGATCAGTTACACAAGAGCTAGGGTTTGTCAGATCAGTTACACTAAGGCTAAGACATGTCAGATATATAGTGACCGTAGTGCTAAGGTTTGTCAGATCAGTTACACTAAGGCTAAGGTATGTCAGATCGGTTACACTAAGGCTAAGGTATGTCAGATCAGTTACACTAAGGCTAAGGTATGTCAGATCATTTAAACTAAGGCTAAGGTATGTCAGATATATAGTGACCCTAGTGGTAAGGTTTGTCAGATGAGTTACACTAAGGCTAAGGTATGTCAGATTAGTTAAACTAAGGCTAAGGTATGTCAGATATATAGTGACCCTAGTGCTAAGGTATGTCAGATCAGTTACACTAAGGCTAAGGTATGTCAGATCAGTTACACTAAGGCTAAGTTTTGTCAGATTAGTTACACTGAGGCTAAGGTATGTCAGATCAGTTACATAAAGGCTAAGGTATGTCAGACCAGTTACACAAAGGCTAATGTATGTCAGATCAGTTACACAAATGCTAAGGTATGTCAGATCAGTTACACTAAGACTAAAGTATGTCAGATCAGTTTCACAAAGGCTAAGGTATGGCAGACCAGTTACACAAAAGCTAATGTATGTCAGATGAGTTACACAAAGGCTAATGTATGTCAGATATATAATAACCCTAGTGCTAAGGTTTGTCAGATTAGTTACACTAAGGCTAAGGTATGTCAGATCACTTACACTAAGGCTAAGGTATGTCAGATCAGTTACACTAAGACTAAGGTATGTCAGATCAGTTACACTAAGGCTAAGGTATGTCAGATCAGTTACATAAAGGCTAAGGTATGTCAGATCACTTACACAAAGGCTTAGGTATATCAGATCAGTTACATAAAGGCTAAGGTATGTCAGATCAGTTACACAAAGGCTTAGGTATATCAGATCAGTTACACAAAGGCTAAGGTATTTCAGATCAGTAACACAAATGCTAAGGTATGTCAGATCAGTTACACTAAGGCTAAGGTATGTCAGATGTATAGTGACCCTAGTGCTAAGGTATGTCAGATCAGTTACACAAAGGCTAAGGTATGTCAGATTAGTTACACTAAGGCTAAGGTATGTCAGATCAGTTACACTAAGGCTAAGGTATGTCAGATCAGTTACACTAAGACTAAGGTATGTCAGCTCAGTTACACTAAGGCTAAGGTATGTCAGATCAGTTACACTAAGGCTAAAGTATGTCAGATCAGTTACACTAAGGCTAAGGTATGTCAGATTAGTTACACTAAGTCTAAGGTATGTCAGATCAGTTACACTAAGGCTAAAGTATGTCAGATCAGTTACACTAAGACTAAGGTATGTCAGATCAGTTACACTAAGGCTAATGTATGTCAGATCAGTTACACGAAGGCTAAGGTATGTCAGATCAGTTACATAAAGGCTAAGGTATGTCAGATCAGTTACACAAAGGCTAAGGTATGTCAGATCAGTTACACTAAGGCTAAAGTATGTCTGATCAGTTACACTAAGACTAAGGTATGTCAGATCATTTACACTAAGGCTAATGTATGTCAGATCAGTTACACTAAGGCTAAGGTATGTCAGATTAGTTACACTAAGTCTAAGGAATGTCAGATCAGTTACACTAAGGCTAAAGTATGTCTGATCAGTTACACTAAGACTAAGGTATGTCAGATCAGTTACACAAAGGCTAAGGTATGTCAGATTAGTAACACTAAGGCTAAGGTATGTCAGATCAGCTACACAAATGCTAAGGTATGTAAGATCAGTTACACAAAGGCTAAGGTATGTCAGATTAGTTACACTAAGGCTAAGGTATGTCAGATATATAGTGACCCTAGTGCTAAGGTATGTCAGATCAGTTACACAAATGCTAAGGTATGTCAGATTAGTTACACTAAGGCTAAGGTATGTCAGATCAGTTACACTAAGGCTAAAGTATGTCAGATCAGTTACACTAAGGCGAAGGTATGTCAGATCAGTTACACGAAGGCTAAGGTATGTAACATCAGTTACACTCAGGCTTAGGTTTGTCAGATCAGTCACACTAGAGCTAAGGTAAGTCATATTAGTTGCATTCGTGATAGGTTAGATTAGCTACATTTACACAACAGGTAAAATACCTCCCTCCCCGTCATACCCGTCACACTCGTAGAGAATAGGCCATAACAGTCACTCTTATAGTAAGGCTCGTCTTCCCCTCACTCTGGTAGTAAGTACGTCATACCCGTCACTCTGGTATACACTATCCTTGTTTATCTGAAACATGCCCTTTTTGTTTAGGATCGGGCCAGGTCCACGGTACTCTACCTTAGCATCCTTGTTATGACGCTTGATTTTTGTTTAAGTTAGCTACAATGTTCACTGGCATACATCATCTTAACCAGCAACCACCTTTAAACATTTGGCCAATACATATTTTTGGCCTTTCTTCCAAAAGCATTTGCGTGGCACAGAATTAATAAGCATTACTGCGTTGGAATTTCTTAAAGTGTATGACAGACATGCCATATAAACTGTCTGAAATCATTTAATAGGTCAGTATTTCTAGATTTGAATTTAAATGTTTACTTAAATATTTATCGACATTCATACTAGATTACAAATGTTTGACACACTTTAATACCATACCCCTATATTGCCAGATGAAAGCATCGATTGATGTTGACTTTGATGTGGTGTGGTCAAACTATTTCAGATGGACGACGCAGCTTTCCTGTCAACTTATAACGGTCCAATTTCCAGCAGGAAGATCTATTTGCAGAATGAAATTTCGCACTTGTAAGAATATATGCAAGTTTTTTATTTATATATATATACATAGCTTATAAGTAATTCTTCATAAGTAAAGTACCAAAACTTAAAAACCAAATTTCCCTACAACAATATGTGAAACCCTGATTTTCCGATTTGTTGACATCGGAGCAAGGCTCCGTTCTCTGTGTTACCCTTACTGGTACGGGATTTGCAGTATATTCTGTTTGCTTACAGTTTCTTACAGAAAGGAAGTTCTTAGGCTACTATGGATGAAGAAAGATGCAATTCATTTCCCATCTGCCTCATTAGGAAACCATATGAAGCTAGTGAAGTACAAAGTGAAAAGCTGTGGAAACGACAGGGTGTCACGTGAGTGTAAAATATACCATGGAGATATGATTTAATTTCTGTAAGAAACAATTGCTTGATGAAAACGTGAACTCCTCTATAAAAAAGGTAACCTAATGAAACTTTTGGATTGTCGTCCGGTTAAAGTGAAGGTCAACGATGTCTTCTCTTTAGTGTGTTCGTCTCTTCAATTTCTGTTGTCTTTTCTTGTCTTTTTTGAGCACAAGCTTTGTCTGAGTGATGAGCTAAACTATGTTGCATACATGTTGTTATATCCCTGTCATATAAACGATGTTAAAGCTTGTCCGTGTGTGTTGATACTGTGTTATATAATATATTTCTTTGTTAATTCGTTTTAAATGACAAAGTATATGTGTTACGTTCAACAGTTGTTCGAACATCGTGTGCAGAGTTGGTGTTACGTATAAAGACAGACTACTCATCCAGCCTTCTGCGGTTGTATCTGCCCAGTGTGTTTGTGGTGATCATGGCCTGGCTGTCCTTCTGGCTACGTCGGGATCAGGTCGCGGCCAGGACCTCACTCACAACGCTATGTGTCGTGTCTATGATCACGGAAAAGATGGGAGTCAGCTTCCTCATGCCGGAAGCGGTGGGTGTCATGGCAGTGGAGATCTGGATGTTTGTCTGCCTCACTTTCGTGTGTGGGGCACTTTGTGAGTTTATCTGGGTGCATACACTCACCGAACTAGAGAGGAAATCAAAAGTGAACGGAAGCAAGCGAGCATCCTCTGTTACATCAGCCGATATTCCAGGGGCGGTCCAGGTCCGTTGTCATAGTCTTTATTGATGCTTTTTGTTGTCTTATGTATTTTATCTGTTTATATCGGATTATTTGTTCTTTGACATCCTCCAATCCTATATAACCTGATATCTCTTACAAAGCCTAATGTAAAGTGTCCAAGTTCTGTTAAATCAAATCATGATAATTTTGTATGTTGCTTTTTGCAAGAAATTCTTGATGTTTCTTTTTTGCGTAAAAATTAATTGCCCTTTAATCGACCCAACTGTTATTTCTCTGAATGTACACAATACATCATCACTTGGAAATACATGTGTCATTCCTTTGCATTGCTAGTAGCCACTTACTATTACTTATTGTGATGAGTTAAACATTCTAAGACATTGGTATTTCCCACACAAATCAATTTTAAAGTTTAATCAATATAAACTGGATATCAGTAATGACTCCTGATGTTTAGCAGTAAAACGCATTATAATCAGTATTTGCTTCTGATTTGTAAACAGAAATACGATCAAACAACATGTTAAGCCGGAGAAATAATTAATACACTATTTCAATATTTACTATATTTATTTGATACATTAGGTAACCCACTTTTTTCTCAGTGTCATACTATACGTGTCTTGCAGTTTATTGATGAGTACATGTGTTGTAAGTGATGGTTAGTTATCATGTTTGTCTATTTTTTCAATTTTGTAAGAGACACCTACGTTTATTAGGGGTGTCTTTTTATGAATAATTTGAAATGAAATAATGCGACTTGATTAATAGATAGCAGTAAACAACCTATCTCTATCTAGTATCTACAAATGTATAAACGACAATAAACGAGTAGGGAACCCTCTGTATATATATTAAAATATACGGGAGGAATTCAGCTAAAGACCTATTTCTTGAAATTAACCTGCATATTATATTAAGAAATTACTTTATTACAAAATTAATGTTATCATTTTTTATTCCAAAAATATGAATCAGGACGTATAAAACATAATCAAATTTGACATTTAAAAACCCTCATATCATTTCTTGTCTGGTCAACGCTAGCATTAACTGCCGAGGTCATTATAATTCTGTTCTCGCCATCTCATCAGGTAACAAAGAGAATATGTTCATCACTGCTGCTGTGATGATTGTAATGGGTTGAAAATAATGAAATGTTTAGTATGATACCACGGTATATAATAATTGTAAAGTGAATCTTCAAATACAAATACCCAAATGATACGCAAATCAAAGTGATATACTATATAATGCAGCTTAATAATATGGAATTGTTTCCTTTTTCAGAAGAAAACATCTCTCACTGATGGGTCTGCAATTCGTAAAAAGTGGACACGACTCGCGTACTGTGGGATTTTCCTCAAATCTGGCCAGTTGGATACATGTGCAAGGATTCTTTATGCAATTTCGTTCGTCAGTTTTCAGATAGTGTACTGGACTTACTTTCTTCTTGTGGATTAGATCACATCAGTTGTAGAGTAAATGTATGTCGAACTATTGGTGTATGCTGTTTATCTCCAGCATTACTTAAACATTTCACGAAATACAAATGTTCAAACGAGTTGTTCTTTAGAAAGAATAAATTGAAAACAGATGTCGAACCTCATAGTCTATGCAACGTAAACTATAGAATATATATATATAAATACCTAACTGCAAATACACAAGGAAAAGGATAGAAAATTAAAGTATATATACTTAGAGAACAACAATTAGAACCAAGACAACGCCAAAACAAAAAGAAGAATCACAAATCCAAACAATAAAATTGAGAAGGAGAATAACGAGTTGCTCATTAAAGTTGAGCGCTTCCTACACTAAGTGTGATACCCGTTGTACAGTGCCTCCTGTGAAATCAAACATTCGGCACCGGTATCAACAAAACAGCAGGATCAAACATTCGTCACCGGTATCAACAAAACAGCAGGATCAAACATTCGACACCGGTATCAACAAAACAGCAGGATCAAACATTCGGCAACGGTATCAACAAAACAGCAGGATCAAACATTCGGCATCGGTATCAACAAAACAGCAGGATCAAACATTCGGCAGCGGTATCAACAAAACAGCAGGATCAAACATTCGACACCGGGATCAACAAAACAGCAGGATCAAACATTCGGCAACGGTATCAACAAAACAGCAGGATCAAACAGTCGGCATCGGTATCAACAAAACAGCAGGATCAAACATTCGACACCGGGATCAACAAAACAGCAGGATCAAACATTCGGCAACGGTATCAACAAAACAGCAGGATCAAAAATTCGGCATCGGTATCAACAAAACAGCAGGATCAAACATTTGGCACCGGTATCAACAAAACATTAGGGTCAAACATAATGAAACAGCTCAACACACTACGACAAATCCAAACTTTAAGCCAATACGAAATGACAATTTTAACAAAAAAGACAAAGGGAAAACTGTATGAACCCAACTATAAAAAAAAACAACTCAAGTGTGGTGTAAACAGAGTACTTTCAACCTGAGTGATTTTATATTTTTATGTTTAAGACTTAAAAATTCTTATCCCGGGGTTAAAATTTCTCTCATAGCATCACATAGGTGTATATAATTATTCTGATAAATAAAATCACCATCGACCTGATATATAGTAAACCAGTTATGATTAAAAGACAGTAATCCCAGTTGGAAATCGTAGTGGTTGGCAGGTCTTCACATCCAGACGCTACCTTGTGATGCAGTGACGCTCCAGGTACATGTAGCTGAGAACACACCATGCATCACTTATAGAGATTGTTTCTGCTATGGATATTGTCACGGAATAAATAACATAATTTCTTGTTATACTCGAAGTATGTCAAAGTAGGAGATCAACATAAAAACAAACTCATTTCAATAGCTTTCCTTCGGCACGATAGATAACTCCTACAAGTTCAAATATTTAACTGATTTTGTTTACAACGATTTTTTTAATCAGTAAACATACAAAGACTAAGAGTAGCTTGTCTTAAATATTTAATAAATGAAATACGTCGTTTCCACATTTCAATGCAGAATCAATATTTTGCCATCATCTGACGATATGAACGTTATCGAATATTTGAAAGAGGAAAGATCCTCTTGCTCTGTGTGAATGATTGTTACTTCCCTTTATCTCGAATCAGGTTCGATCGTTTCTGAATTTATCATCGTCTATACATCGTGACAAATATTATAGGTTACGCGATAAAGTCTTCTGTGTATAACACGTAGGCAGTTTCCGACGGTTGTGGTGTTTCCAGAAATCGGATGACAACGTCACAAAACATGCATATTTAGATGTATGTTGTGTAAGAGCACACCGATGACATTCTTGCTTCAAAACAAATTAAATAAAGAAATTACATATTATAACAATACAATACAAACTCACAATGTACCTGTGATATGACGAGGCATAGCCCTGAGGATTATTTGTGTTTGATTCTTGTAAATACAATTAGCGCAATTGTTCTGTCTCATGACGCCCAAGAACAACCCATGGAATTAATTTCTAAAAGAACAACAAGTGTTATTTGTAGTACTTCGTGGTGTAATACATTCCCACTGCTCCAATTAAATTTTGTCAGGGAGGGTTTTGTTAATTGCCAACATTTTGAGTAGTGGACTTAATCTATTAAACTTCGAATTAAATATCCCCCATGTTTTTGTAAACACTTTGCTAACATGTTCGCGAGCACCACGACATTTGGAATACTGTCTGGTGATTTCGAGTGCGAGATATTTACTGGTCTAAAACTTACGGTTTTGTGATTTAATGGTTCCCGTAAATCAAGCTCCACTGTACACTTGTGTGTCCACAAATACCATGTGATTTAATGGTTCCCGTAAATCAAGCTCCACTGTACACTTGTGTGTCCACAAATACCATGTGATTTAATGGTTCCCGTAAATCATTTGACAAGTTTGAATGTAAATGGTGTTGAATACAGATCACAAGTTTTTAAATATAAACTATACACTGGCTTAGTGTTTAAATGATGTTCCATTCGACACGCTATGCATAGAAGGGTTTTTCTTATTTATTTGTTTTTACAGCAATTGATTATTTTGCAAATATTGTCGGTCTTATCAGCAAGAACATATTACACATGTGATGGTATGGTGGTTGGCTGTACTACAATTGACCGACATATGAGAGCCTACTCGGTCTCTATCACGTACTGCTGACCCCAGCTAGCATACCTCACCTTGACCTCACCTTGACCTTTCCATAGCTGGTCAGTACGCATGTATACATTGAATAAACATGTTCATATAGCGGGGTGGTTTTACAAATAACCAAGAGTTCTTTAAGATTCATATTTATTCCATTTCCACAGCACAGATATAACATTGTTCAATATCCTAGTGTATAGGTAGATACATACACTCTGTGTATGGCACAAAGCCAGGAATAAGGAAACCGATGTCATCAAACTGCTAATCACTTAGTACTGAATAATTCGATTGTCAAAAGACGTATGTGTCGGTGTCCAAATCAACATGTCTGCTCTCCTACAAAATCTTTCACAAAACTGACACAATGAAATCCCGCCAAAAGTGACCAATATATGACTGACAAATAAAAACACAAATCTATACAAAATATCTGACCAATGACAATAGCATATAAACAATAACACACTGGACCTTACATAACCACTCCATGGAATATTATACAGGTAAAGATCACACCACAGGACATGTACGTCATAATATCAACACATACAAATAACATGCTGGGCACAACATAGAATATAACACAGAGTATTTAATTAATATAAAATACAATGAAATATGACTCTGCTACATTTACATGTAAAACCATGAGGCACAAATAATACAGAACGTACATCATGGATGTATAAATTAGAGCAAACGAGTATCGTTGCCAACAACACACATAACGTGCTGATAGATATGAGTAATGCTTCATTAGCACAATACATATGGGTAAATTGCAGATTGCAAATGTATGCCAAGATAGACACCGACGCATCAATGTTCTATGGGAAAAATTTAGTACAACAGAGAAGATAAACATCGCAACTGTTTTAATGGGTATTAGCAGATATGCAATTTAACGCACTTGTGCATCCATTATTTAACTACCTAGACGCAAAATTTAAGGAAACAGAATAAATGCATGGTTAAACGAGCATGTAAAATTGTTCTATCTAAGTAATTGAAGAATAGATATAAAGTTATAGGTGTATATTGCTCATATAAGACTGTAAACAATGTTTAAGTAACACACTAAGCTATTTCAGACATGAGGGTAAGCTATCAGCGTAATTAAATTTCAAACAATACTAGATACTATACTAATATCACGCAAAACCCAACTTGTAACATAGGAGTAATATGATAAATACTGGCATGCTATTTGAATTTAAGTATTAACAAACATTTAACATAAATGTATAGGCCCAATTTTTTAGAAAGTAGTTATCCTATAACAACATGATCAAGTAACGCCCCTTTACTATGGAGGAAAATGTCAGTTACTTATATAACCTTCATTCGTTTCCCTCATCAACATTCAATATACACGTTACTCGTTACGGTTCTCGATGTAAAAAGTGTAAATGACGGGTACACAAAACCCCTTTCAGGTTATATGGAATATTCCCCATGATCGATTAACGCATTTACGTATTAATTGGAAGTTTGCTTGTTTTAGATCCAATATTCGATCAGCAATATTAACATGGTATGGGACTACATACAATTACGTCAATTAGTGAAATAATAAGATCAATGGTTACTTCAAATAAAAGTGATATTTTTCGCTTCAGGACAAAATCTCATTTTCTTTGAAAATCGAACTCGTATAACCAATGGCATCGACCCGCACAAGTGACAGTGAACAATGCATACGAACATAATAAAAATAACGCCATTAACAAAATAAGAAATGCACCAGTACGATCATATGATGGCGACAATCAAACGTGCCCTCATCATCAACCTGTATCTTAGAGAAACATGTGCTGTACGTGTTACCCGTCTGCAGTCGATATCTATGATGATGTCAACCACTGCTTTGAATACCAACCAATTCAACTGCAACATGTAATCATCAGATGTAGGGAAGCAGATATTTCACTATCAAGAAAGGGAAAGTTCACGATCGGAAAATCAAAACATAACACTTACCATAAACTTACAAGTAAGTGGTCCCCGTTGGTCATGTTGAGATCAATGTAAGTGCCTGATGAAGAGGAGTCGGAGCTTTTCTTTAATTTTTTTTGTAATTAAGAGACAACACATCGCCGATATCTGAAAGTAAAAATGAAAGATTTGGCAATATTTGAGTAACTACCGGAAATGCTCTTCATTAAATAAGCATCGTATGAATACAGAATTAAGAAGGCCAGAAGAGGGGAAAGTTTGTCCGAATATTTGTCAGGAATTTTTATATTAAACTCTATTCAAATAAAGATAATTCCAACTGAAAATAAGCAATCTGCAAACAATAGTCAACTGTATTCCTTCTCTAGGGAGGAATGGATGGCCAGAATGTGATCGGTAGAGTTATTTTCGGGCTTTTTTTGTTGAAACATTCGTCCACGACTACAGCAGCAATGCAGGTCCAAATATGAAAACAAAGAATGCCAGATTAAAAGATCAGAGTGTTGTTGCTTGGTCAACTTCACACTTAAACTGAATGGGAGGTCTACACATATGTATCAATGTATTTAATCAGGTAACTCAGGACACCTTTTTGAGCCCCATTCAATCAACCAAACATGTTTGCAATTCAATAAAGCTATTTTCTTCTTCTTCAAGGTACAGTCCATACCACTTAAGTGTATTCTCGGACTTTGATTAGTAACATTTACTGTTAGTACTCGTCAAATTGTACGAGGCCAGTTCCTACCCGACTGATCAGCATATATAGACGTGTCGCTTGGCAGTCACATGTATCATAATAATGTAAAAATGATAGTCACGGACCGATCGGTTTTCCTCAAACTCTACACTGCACGAATATTACTTTCCTTGTAAAGGGCCGGTTTCCAAAATGGCCCCTTCTCTGATTCAAATTTCCTGTTGGTGGTGCATTGCCCATGCCGTTGTGGTCACAAATCTATAAAGTATAAAGATTTAGGTCACTTGGTTTGTTTTTTATGGCTCCTCAAAGTTGTACCTTTCAGAAGCTGTCTAAGTGTTGATAAAATGTGCATGTTATGTAAAATATTAATGAAAATCTAATCAAATGATGGTCACCGTAAAGAATACATTCATGGCATGATTGTGACAAAAAATCATGTTTCCATCGCGCCATTTGGCTGTTTTATGGAAGAAACAATCTCAAAAATGCCATTTTCGATGATAACATTTTAGACACAAAAACTGTGTTTTTTAGAGAATACACCCTTTTATGGGCGTTGGATGCAAACCAATTTTTATCCTATTAAACAGTACGTAATATGCTATTGATGAGAGGAAAAATCATCAAAATGTAAGTGGTGGAACATTTTCAAATGTTGGGTTGAATTAGCCTATGGTTGAATTGCCGATTTTCGACTTTCTTTAGATAATTAACAAAAAAACGAGAGTATTTGCTCGGTATGTTGAGAATATGTACACAGATATGAAAAAAAGTGAGAGAAACACTTTTTCATAAAAAAAATCCAAGATGGCTACTTCACAAGTCCCCGTGGTTGAAGACATTGGCTGACAAATAGACAGAACAACAAACAAAACGTGTTCCTTATGATTTTGGTTGGTTTTCGCATTTACGGGAGTGTTCATAGCTACGGGCGATTGTATAATACCTATATTTATAAGTTTGGTTAGTCACATGGTAACGGGGATCTTTCATATCGAGCCCCAAACATACTTTCGACATATGCACTCCGTTGCCGCATGGAAAACTATTTCAAGTTTTGTCGGAATTTCTTTACCTGTGGTTGTAATGGTCGAGGGTTTTCCAGCGTCCTGTAATACCCAAGGTAGTACAAGATACTGGAGATGTGCGCACACATTCCCATCGTTCTCTCTCCAACTGGGCACTGGCAGTAGTAGTCCTTTATTGGGGCCTCAACATCGGGTGAAACGGTGAACCGTATCCAAACGTTATATTTCGTTTGGCTTTTGTGTCGAGAATGTATTTGACATCGGAGAAGGTCTGGGGAGTGCTGGTAAAGCCACACCTCATAGTCTCCGTCATCACTTAAATGTTCGGCGATGTAACCAGGAGCCAGAGATATCTGATACGTTCCACACGTAATGGTTCTCAAGTAATCAAGATCGAGACGGGGAAACAGTACGGAAGATGCATCCATCTTGACAAACTCGGACCTTGCCCGTCTAGATAGATCCGGATCTGTCTTGACTCTCTGAGCTAAACCATTCGGTGTTGTCAAACGGTCCTTCATACGTTCAGCCATTAGCCTATCTTTGGCATCTCTCTCTGGAGATCTCTGGTAGATCGGTCCTCTAATACCATTCAGACAGGCTGTGACGGTTCGAAGCAAAGCCTCGATGACATTGATAAAGCTGTTAGACACCAATTGCGTTCGGAAGAACGTCCAGTGTTTCAGACGACCATGATAGGATTCCACAATCCACCTCGATTTGGTGATAGTTCTGTCAAGATTTGCTTGGACGTCAGAATGTTGACTTTGACCGGGTTTCAGGTATGACGGCATGCTAGCATTGAGGCCAGAGGCTTCGAGAACTGGTAGGACATCTCTAAAACCTCGGTCAACGACAACGTTGTCGTCTGGTTGTAGCCAAGTAACTAGCTTGTCCATGACTTTTTTTGTAATTGTAGCATCATTTTCGCTGCCAGTGAATGGTCCTACTGTGTCCAGAATGTAGCCATCTGGTAAGGCGATGCTCATGAATTTGAGATAGTTTCTCTTCTTCTGGCCACAGTAGGACATTCTCTGGAGCTTGTGGTCGGAGCTTTTCTGGATATAAATATAGGTGCCATCTAATATGGCAGTGGCTTTATCTCCAAAAAATGCTTCTGAAAAGACAGTATTGTGCCCGAGCAACTGTTCTCTTGTCAAGTGATCCGGACCTAGAAATTGTGGGACTATCGATGTGTCTAATGCCTGTACTATGGAGTGGAAAGTTTTGGACACACTTGACTTGGAAATTCCAAAAAGAGAAGAACACTGACTCCAGGAAATGTCGGTTTTCAGTTTTACCCAGAACAGTAATAGAGCATCGTGTGTAGTCTTGGTATATATACCAGATGAAAGATATGGGGAACAGTGCGAGTGGATTTCGAGGAACTGATCTTTGGACCAACCTGTCCAGGCCATGCATGCCGAGTCATCAAGAGAAGAAAAGCTTATTGTAAACGCAGACTGGTTCTGTGAAAGGACGTGCGACACCTCTAGGAGGTCATTAATGATTTCGGACGATTTTGATGGTAACTGAGATTCCAAGGAACCTCTACCATCAAGGACAACCTCTGTAGACGGATCTAAGTCGTTACCAATAAGGTGAATGGAGCAGACGCGGGATGAGGTGGGACACCACAGTTTGTGTGAATAGATCAGGTGATGTCTTGCACGTTTTGGTAAGACTGATGATTTTGTTCCATTTCTTGCAAAGGTAACAAGACAGAGACAGCATTTTTTGTGTGAAGATGATCCATTCAAAAGATCATGAAGGGTCAGCAACGGCAGGATATGGGACGGGGAGTCGTCTTCTTCCTCTATTTCCTGGTTCTGCTCGGGTTCAGGTTCAGGCTGATTTTTGTTCCGAAGATACTTCATGTAGCACTTCTGGCAAATAAGTGCTTGTTCCTTTGCTGACATCAATCCTTGTTGCACCAGCGTATCTAGGAGCCATTTATATTGTGGACTATTTACATTGCGTGCACTTCTGTTCTTATTGCCACTACGTTTCTTGAAGTATACTTGACACCCTTCTCCAACACATTTACCCTCCATCTTGAAACAATAACGATTGGTTTATGAAGCGTCGATAAAGTAACAAAATAGCAAGCCACCGATGATTGCTGTAAACAGCTAATACTTAGTAGTTTGGTACAATTATGCGAAAATGTGTGATAAATAACGAACAACTAATTACACAAAATAACAAGACAATATAATAAATCACATTCAATACCTCCAAGAAGCGCAGAATTGATTGATTACTTAGAACAAAATAAAGTATTTCATATGGATAATCTATCTATTCGATGTGGCGTGGTCGGCAGGCACAAAGAAAGTGAGACAAGTCAGGGTCCCAACCCTGACAGAGCCACAACGCTTTGGAGATGGGACAATAAAACAAGGAAAGTGAGACAAGAATAGCTAGCGTCGAGTCAATGATTCCGTAAACGTATAGACAAAGACAAGAAGATACGGATAAATGTACAAGGCCACACGATCAGAAAATTCAGAAGAGGACAACTTGAGATAGAACAGTATTCATGTATCAGGGTGTCCTCAGTGTAAATCTTTATATCGATACTGTTTATTTAGTCGTTACACATCATAAAACTGTCATGAAAATATCCGCTCTGATATTCAATATAAAAGTTTGTATATAATAAGCTATATAATAGGGTTTCAGACAAGGTTGTTACTCATTTCCCCTTTTCTTTCAATTTACAACCACATTCAGGCGGCGATATGAGAACGTTCCACCACATGGAATTAGCTGATTTTTGGTACACATATGAAACAAGTAAAGCTCTATCCGATTTTCTGATGGAAATTTGCATCCAAAACTATATAACGGGAGAAAATTGCAATTTTATGGCATTTTTCTTCATAATTGTGTCTCTGCAAGTGCATTTTCATCCGAGAATATTTTTTTTTTTGTTTTATGAATAAACACGATGTTTTGGAAATATTTATCAAAAGAAATTTATACTATGTTGCGAATTACAATTTCGAGATAACCTTCTTTTATTTACGAACTTATGTCTTTGATGCTGAAATTGACAACTTTATAAAAATACATTTTCACTGAAATTATGAAATCTGGGTGTCGGAAAGGTGTAAAATTATTCTTCGGAAAAGAAAAAAACAGTAGTTGAGCTAGATAAGAAATTATACGGGGGCAGGCTCCTATGGAGAATTATCATTACTGGAAACAGGCCCTTTATAGAATAGCCGTATGGCGCAGTTCATGTTTTACTTTGTTCGGCTTTGTGCATCGAAAACGTTAGGTTTTATATAGCTGCTTGCTTAAATTGAAGTGTATGCAGACAATACGTTATTACATGCTTTGTCTGTCGCCACACATCACACAGTGAACATGTAGCCCGAGTTTCCTCTGGTCCTGACACCAGACTTGAAACATTTTGACAGGTAGATGTCTTCACCAGACACTTTTACTGTCAAAATGTCTAGGTCTGGTTTCAGTGCCTAATGAAACTTGGTCTAAATGAACATGCATGCAGATCGTTGAGTGAGGTTAGGACATCTGAGGTTTCAATCTACTTATTCTTTTTTGAATTTTGGACTATCTCGGTTAGATCAACAGTATAGCTTCCCGTTGGTTCCCGTGAAAACGCAATGCCAATGGGTATTTAATTAAGTCATGTTTGATCTCGGGAGCTTAGTATGATCCTCTTCTTAATTTCAGGTTTTGTTAACAAGAATCTTCTTAACAGGATGTTTACGTACAATTGGAGCTTCTTGTAAACACATCACTATATTATTGAGTACATGTCATAGACTATTGAATATCCACCATAAAACCGTCAAAACAATTCACATATAATTCTTATGTAATAAAGTTGCGAATAAATTAGACGAGGTTTGTCGACAGGAAATAAGTGTTTTCACTAAATTCTCCCATGTATGATACTCGATGACAAGATCATCCCGCAGACGTTAGCCATTCCTAAGGAAACAAACTGTGCCAGTCTTCTGACAGATTTACCTGTTTTTTCTGAGATGTGGCTGAATTTATAAAAATAGGTGATCTTATCAAGACTATGAAAAGAAACCCTTGCCAAATCCTTCTTTGTCACTTTCTGATTTATAGAGAATGTGCTCCGATTTGAATCAGTAAGTATAGTGCATGCTCTCCTGGATTTAAAACCGAAACCACAACAGATTCCTCTTCACCAGGCGCTCATCTTGACATCTAAGATGACTAATGACCGCTTACTTACAAATACGACGATTCTGATATGCCGATTGTGGTGATATTTCCTTTTCTTGATAGAAACACCCCTGCTTCCGCAGTGGATTTGTTATTCAAGGGCTTGTTTTGAAGATCGCAATATCAGTGATGGATATCGACCGTTAGCCATGTCAACACTAGGTTTAAAAAGATGCAGGTTGATGTTCAATTTTTGTCGTTATTTTTTTTTTTGGGAGGGGGGATATGCTATTTAAGTGAAATGACGTCAATGATTAAGAGTATGCTCACAAGTGTCACTATCCAAGTTCGTGCTCCGAGGGCGTGCCATGACTTGGATTTAATCTAGGTTTTTTTAGATGGTTAGGGTGGTTGATGCACCAAAAATACCTTTTACTTTCTTGAACACCTGGCCTTATCTCCTTTTACTTTTTCACTGTTCCTGTAAGTATCGCCTTTGTTCATATTTTACCCTAGTTTTATCCAATCTGAGTTTGAACTACGGTTTCATTTTCATCCTCATATTTTGCCCATGAATCAAACCTGGTGGGGGTGGGTAAAAAAAAACTAGCAGTTATCATACAAATCCAGAATTAAGTAGTGATGCTGAAGAATTTGAAAAAGGAACATCTTAATGCCTGTAACTTGTTTTTTGGTATTGACCTTCTCACATGTATATCAAATGTCATTACAATGTTACCAAATGTCGTGGCATAGATCTTGCCCCTTTCTGTAGAAATAAACAAAGAAACATGTAAATATTGCCACCAGAGATTTATTGCCTCTCCAGCTTGTGGGGACCTCCCTATCTGCACACAGTACAGACTGCCTCCACCGAGGCACCATGAAGGGAACCCAATGTGATGAAAGTGATGATCAGAGTATATACAGTGTTGTTTTTTTTGATTATTTAAACAAAATAGTTATGGACTCTTGTAGATATTTTAACGAAAAATGGGTGGGATTAAAATGACGAAAATAATTTCCTTCATGGTGCCTCCTGGAAGAGTCTTCAAAAAACATATAAAGGGACTAATAATGACTGAAATGATAAATGATTATAAAATCTAGTTGACATACAACATACAATGAAATGAACTACACTCTAAGTTATGTCAATCTAGATGGTGACCATATACCCAATTTGTTAGCTTTGGCTATTGTATCAGTGTAACTTATATGTATACCCTGAGTAACTGTGCTTTCATTTCTCGCTATATGTACCTTACTGATCCTTCAGTCACATTTTTACACAAATCTCTCTCATTTTCCAAGACATCCTGTATGTAAACATGGATTAAACTAGTACATTTCTCACAATGAATGCATTGATGTTCATTTTCCTTAGGAAAAGTATGAGATTTTCTCTTCCATATGAATATGACATGATTATAATTAATAAATAATAAAAAGAAATTATCTCTCCTTTTCTCTGCTCCCTCTCTGTCTAAGCTAGCACGGTTATTGTCTCGATCAAACTTGCTCATGTTCTTTCATTGACTATACTACTCATTGTACACAACGATTGTCAAAGTTTGGAGTAACAAGGACAACTGAAGGTCAACAAAATCTTTATACAAAATAGATTTTTCCTCACATAAAAAAAAGAGTATTTTAAAATCATGAATAAAACATTAGTTAATGTTCAGATGTCATATCTTAATTTTTAACCGCATTTGTATGCATCCTGTGCATCAAATGATCAACAATATATAGAAAACATCTTATTTTTGTTAAACTCTTAATGGTCCTCATCAATATATTATATTCATCATAATCCTATACAAAGCGTAGTGAAGAGGCGCACTGTTGGGCATATAAGTATGGGAAATTCTTTGAATATATATCAAAATGGAGAAAAAAAAGACTACAACACCCCAATAACATAAATGAAATAAACAATTAACAAACTTAACATGATCATCTCAACAATGGAATGTTCTATGAGAGGAAAATATCAAGAATCATATATGATAGGGCATTCGCACAAATATGTAATTGCTGCACACGTTTTCAGCAAGTTATAATTACTGACCATTAAACAATATCTTACCATTGATAATAAATAAATATGTAGTTCTCTTTGTTTCATTGCCATTTACTGTTGTGTAGTTTTCTATGGTGCACGGAATCCCATTCAAGCAGTGCGCCTGTTCACTACGACAATATTTACAACGGAAGGTGTCATATTCCATATCTACATCTACTCATTGGATCTGCTGCCTCTCAGATAGTAGGACTGGTCCTGATGTAGACTCGCCCAGGTTAAAAGATCCTGCTTATTATAAATATTTACACACAGCTTTCAAAGAATTGAAATAATTTCAAAGAATATGGCATCTCTGTTACATACATTCTATATTACATATAAATGAAAGACAATTTTTTTTTAAACATTTTCATATATTTCTTGTATTTTTTATAAACATAAATATTTTTTTTAATATTTGGATTTTTTTTATAAGTTTCAGTTTTTGCTAAGGTTAGACTGAATACATACACTAGTTGTCTCTACAGACCATCGCTGGTGGCAATTTTATATATTTTTTTGTGTGTGTACAGTTGACTGATACAAGGGATTCCAACCCCCCTCAAGCCCTTGGAATAAAACAATGGAAATCAAAATAAAACTGACCTAAGAGAGCTAGGTGAAAATAAAAACAGACCACATTAAATAAACATTGAATATCACTAAATATCAGCACACTTCAATAATGCTATCAACAGAAATATATTAACTTTTACAAACAATCAACTAAATAAACTGTCTACATAACCTTTTTCTCTTTTTAACAACAATCTTGCCAAGACATTAACCATAGAAAATACCAATTTATTTCTAGGCATATTCTTCCAATAACCATTGATAATTATCACAGACTATCATATTAAAACAAATCTTATTCCTAGTCCATTGCACTGTTACTGGTAACTTTCTCACTAAATAATCAAATCAAACTCAAAAACAAAATTAAGTATTCTGATAAGTTCACAAGGGTATTACATAACATAATTTGTGTAAGGGCTTGAGGTGGGGGCTGATTTACCGGAGGCAATACTGTAACGTAAGTACCGTCAAAACAGACAGCATCCTTACATATCTATCAACAGGTGTGTCACAATCCTTCAGAGAATTATTCTAGTACTTCTAGCTCTCTTTGTGCATTAAAAATCTACCTTCAAGCATAATGTAAGGTCCACTTGGCAAGAATATTTTTCTTTTTAAGTTAAAATCTGTGATGGCTCTGTAGACAAACTAAAACAAAAATTGCAAAGTTGATAAAGCAATCTGCTTTCATATATATAATTAATCAAAGCAGTCTTCAAAAATAACTAATGCACAAATATTGAACATCAGATGCCGTGATATCTGTGGAGATCTTTCAGTTCAAAATAGCAAATGAGATAAATGAACCTTGCACATGCATTGAAAAATAGAGTTGACAGAGTGTTCCATTTTAGTTAGCGGCTACAGGTGTTGGCTTGAGCTGTCCACTTGTTCCTTCAGTATCTTGGTGCAGTTCTGAGCCACATGACGCTCGAATCAAGTTACCATCACAGCTGGTGTCCTCATTGTAGAGCCTCTTGATAGCATCCGAAATGTCATCTTCTACCTCCTCATCAGACTCGACCTGCTCAGCCTTCCGCTTCATAGTTGTGATGCGCCTAAGCGGATGGTGAGGCAGGAAGTGGTAACCAGTAGGGAGCAAGTGTTTCTCAACTAAGAATCGACTTATTACCTCCCGGCACCAGACAAGGGACTTGTTGTCAATCTGTATCAAAATGAAAGGGTGTAATGTTTTGAACACTAACGTTAGACTTAAAACAAACATGCGCAAGTAAATTTAGCTCAGAATGAACATAAATATGTTAAATGAAATTTCGCATAAACATTGAAAATGAAATTAATGCCTTACTGTCAAAATATATATACGGAGGGACTCTACTGAATGGTTCAAATTTTCAGTTCAAACACAAACTATAATGATTGCCTTTGACATATGCCAACCTTATCTTTTTTAATAATTAATGATATAATTACCCCTGCCATCTGTTGTATCATGAGCATGATAGAGAGCCAGTTCTGACTAATCTGTTCCAGCTCCAGACTGATCATGGCAAGACAGATCACTGATGGCTTGAAGGTCTGCAGGTGGTGGTTGCTGAGGCAGAAGAAGAGTTTCCGTGTGAGGACACCAAGATGTTGGGAGGGTGTCATGTTTCTCAGACCATCCAACAGTTGGGGGTGGTAACACATCAGCATAGCATGGAGCTGTTGGGAAGGACACATTTATTAACAAAAAGGAACAAATGATTACTAGAAACTGCTATACATGTTTCATTATGTTTTGTTTTTTAAAAGATTTTGCATCCTAACAACAGCAAAATTCACCATTAAAAATCAAGAAACAAAGGATTGACAGAAACTCTTAAACTGCAAAGTAATTGTTTTAAAGACAACTGAGCTGACATCCTGGTGAACATATGTGCTTTTGGAAACTATGTTTTCTTTCCTTTTCTTCTAATAATGCAAAAACTAATGGTACGCCAGTATTATTTTTCTTCCTTACTGCACGATTTAAATATTTATAAACCATTTGAAATGCATCTTAATCAAGATGCCATCTAATATATTTACATATTATTGTTTTAGAGACAAATAGATATGACAGCATTATGCCCTTATTCTTCATTAAGTCATACTATAAATCGCCTTTTCCCATAAAAACATCAGTACCAACTGTGAAAAGGTGGTGGATTAAATACCACTACTTCTATAACTTGATTGTCAGCACACACAACTTACAATGTGAAGGAAGTCAGTTGCTGTTACGTATTTGATGTTCCAGTTAAGTTTGTTGAGAATCACTGCCTCCATCCTGAGAATTTCTGCTACAGAACAGGTAACTTGACTTATTTTCACAAGGTCCACGGTGCAGGGTATTACCTAAAAACAAAATCAGATTACAATATATAATAACAGCATAATAAACGGAAATGAAAAAGTTTTTTTTATGTTAGAATCTATTCCCTTAACATATATCCACTTACATTAAGGTCATTGTGAAATCATCGACAATCAAACCATAGCAACTCTTTATTCAGTCGTATAATTAGTTGACTACATTATTTTTAAATGGATTTTGATTTTGTATATCAACCCACAAAAATACAGACCAAAGTCCCCAGGAGCAGGACTGGACCCATGATCTGGTCCTAGTAGCATGAAGGTGTTTATCTGCAATCTTTTATTTTAGCTTGCCTTACCCAAAAGGCAATTCGTTTAATTTGTTTGATCTTAGTGCTATGTAACTTACCTCATCTTCCTCCAGGGTCTTTGCTGCGATGAAATAGCAGCTGATTGAGACACAATGGAGATACTTGGGGCGAACCTGTTAATGGAATATATGCTCAAAATTATAGCTCATTTTAAAACACAATGTTCTTTGACACTGTTTTTTGTATAACAAAGGATTTGTCATAGTCTGATTTACTTTTCTTTCGAATCGAGAAATAAGTTGGCATGGTCAACTCATCAAAAAGCTTACATGAATGTCACAGCCAAGTGGCATTGAAGAGTGCATAAGAATGTGATTAGATGACAAATTGTACTGTTGTCAATTAAATGAGCTTAAATGAATCTGTTATTTAATTTTAGCAGGGGGGGTTTATGGCATTCTTTGGGTGAGGGTAGGGATGGAATGTATTAGTTAAACCTTTATACAGTGACAACCTCCGGCCAAGTCGTAAACAAAAATATTCACCATGAACAGGCAGTCACTTTAAACAGGTGAGATCCAGTTGTTATATTATGAAGTCAGGTTATTCATTAGCAAATATATTCATTTTTGCACAACACAGCTGAATGTTGAAAAAATATATTTCATTCCTTAATTGTTTTCTTAACTGTGTAATTCTGAATCATGATGTGGTGTGGAAAATATGAAAAAAAACATACTACTCAAGAAAATTGATCATACCAGTGTTTAGGATACAGAATTAATCATTCTTGACCTACCTTAAAAATGTGTATTACCTACTCATTTCATAATCATAAGAATGCAACTCCATTATTGATAGATATGTTTTTTCATTGATTTGGTATATTTTTTGGAATAGAAATCCCCATTCTGCATTGAGAATGGAGTTTTTACAAAGTCTCTTCGATACTGTAGAATCATTTATGTAAGTGGGGTTAAAATTTCGTGGTTTTCATAAACTAGCCTGTTTCAAAGACATTATATTTTGATGATTTCTGATTCCCCCTATCTATATCATACTAAATTGATGTTTTTGTGGGTTTTTGTTATCCACGAAATTAATGAAATTTAATGTCCAACAATTGTTTTTGCTATTACAGTAAATAAATCTCTAAAATATGTGCATGTAATATACATTTCTTTTCTGTTTTCTGCCATTTGAACTTGAATTAACTCTGTAAATATATACATCTGTATCTTATTTTAAAAAAGAAGGATACATGTAAACATATTTATAAATTAAACAATAAAATAAGATTTCACCTTAACATGCTGCAGGAACTTGTCCAAGAGGTATATACTGAGACAAACAGTTTCTGGAGAGAAATGGAAGTGACTGTTCTGGTAAATTATCCATGAAACGATCTCATCTCTGTGCTGTCCTAGTACCTCCTACAAAACAAAAGCACTTCTCTAGAATAAACAACTAAATATTCAATTAAATATGCCCATATTTTTATCCATGGTATTTAGAAATCAAATTTTATTTGGGTTAATACTGGGGTTTTTTCATCATTTTGAAATTATTTTATATCAAACATCTATTTGGGAGTCTTTTATTCATAAGACAACAATATTTTTCTATCAATAAACCCATTTTGGGATTATTTTTTCTAATCCTATTTGAGAAGAAAAAGTGCCAAGTGCACAGAATGGGATTGTTTTCTCACTCCTTCTATAGACAGGAAATGTCAGCACTGACAGACATAATGTTACAAGTCACTGTCCTACATCAACACCGTACTGTGACCTGGATTAGACTGACAGCAGGAACTACTTTTCTTCAGCCTGTGTGTAGTGTTTATACAAGAATGGTAATGACCCAGATTTGTATGAGGTCACTGAACAGATTGTACTGATAACAATGGATAATCCTGAAAACTTTTAAGCACATAAGTGCATTAAAACTATTAAATACCTGTACTGACTTATGATTTTCTCGTGCTAATAAATCAAGTTTATATTGTTTTGAAAAGTAATGAGGAATGTCTTATCCTTCCAATTGGGAAACACCTTAATAATATTTAAATTACACATGGCTAAATGCCAGAATTCTAAAATGGTATTTACATGCAAGTCTGTGTAGGTGTATATATACAACTGTGCATTGGTTTTGATGTGCTGTAAATACCAGGTAGTGTAACCACTGAGAACACACCATGACAACAAAAACAAAGCGAATGTAAAAAACACAACATAAATATTAATGCACCTAGAGCAATTAAACAACACAATCATTATGCATATCATATACACGCAAGTTACAAGTCTTTTTATATAAATGTTTGTTTGGGAACTTAATATCTGGCATTATTTTATTTACCTAAAGAATAAACATTATCTGGAGGAAATTAGTTTTTTAATGAAAAAAAGTAACTCAACCTGATCACCTTCACCAACAAGCAAAAATGAGCAAGAAATTACCTGTTGTTCATTGCCTTGTGTTTTGTATGACACAGATTTCCATTGTGTCTGCTCTTTGTAAAGGGACTCCCCGAGCATCTGTAGCAAGTGCTTAGCACTGATACCACTGTGCAGCTTCATTCTGACCCCCAACTGTGCACCAAGCAACCTGAAATGTATAATAATTGATTTACCATGTGCATCAACATGGTAATTATATCATTTTGTTTAAGGTATAGTGTCCTTACTTAATTTGGCGTCTGATACAAGCTACTAAAATCAGCTTCTTGAAGGCTTGGTTATGGAGAACTTCTCCTTAACATTAGGTACTGTGTCAAACTTTTAAACAAGAGGTCCTTATATTCCAGGCGTTTAAAAATCAAGTCATAAATTGGATGCAGGTCCAGTGTAATGAGTCAAACAAAATTTCTGAAATTAACATAAATATCTTAAAATTTGTTTTAAAACAATATGATACAAAGACTCAGATATCGGATTGAAAAATCAACAGACTTTCAATATTAATTTTAAAACCAGGATGTTGTATTGAAGTTTAAACCAATTTTATGTAATAAAAATTCACTTTTGAAATGGCTTTAACTCTGTACGAAAACTCACCTTGTCCTATCAGTTCTGACGAAATAGCGAAAATCATTATGAACCCATTTCTCAATTCAAATACACTGTCAAACTAGTTTAATCGTATAGCTCTCTGTATTGTAGTAGTTTACTTTTGTCCATGGCAATGTCGTGACGAAATCAAATAATCGAATGATGTAATTGTTGCATTGGGAGCTAAAATAAGCTTCACTGGGAATCCTCTAGACAATTCTAGAAGGGAGATTCCCCAATGACCTTGTCTTATGCAGAAACTAATAACACGAATCCAACAAGATATCCTCATGAAACATATTTAATATAATAGTTTATACATTACATTGGTTAATGTGCTATAATTTCTCGACGTGTAAAATGTATTTGTCGCGATACCTGTTTCAAAAACTTGAGTATATCTGACAGAACAGAAACAAAATGGCCACCAGCTGATGTAAATTCACAGTAACTTCAAAACCCTATCGATAGGCAGCTATCAGGGACAACGCTTACCTGGATAAAACTGAAGGAAGAGAGTTGAACCAATGCCTTCCCCTGGTCCATTCACGTGGATCTGCTTACATCTAGATGTTCAAACCTCCATTTTTCTGTCTAGGCGAAACTACCACAACGAAAAATAGGAAGAATTCCTGTTGATATGACAAAGATATAAATAGAAACACCGCACGCATAATTTATGAGTAATTATTTTTCGTATCAATACGCTGTTCCTATGACTACTACATTTTTCTGTAATATAGAAGCTATTGCTTTATAAAACATACAATTTCTAATACCACAACTTCATATTTTTCAAAACCGTCCACATTTGGACAAAATATTTGGATAGCATCACTTGCACTATTTCTTATAAGGCAGGGACATTGTCGGTAGGTGAAACGGTCGGAAGCTGAACTGTCAAAATTTAGCAGGTGCCCGTTCTTGGAGGAAATGGTTTATTTCGCCATAGAGAATGGCGATTTCAACTATTTCTAGTTAATGTATGTCAATGATATAAGTTTAAGTGTGAGATTTTGTTAAAGACGTTGAAAGGGATATATTGGAATGCATGTTATTGTTTACAAGCTTTCTTCTAAATTTAGGCATATGTTAATTAGCCGACCAGCCAATCAAAATCAACGTTGTATCCTTTCATGTTTAGTAGCCAATCAAAGTACGTGTAAGATCTGACAACCGCTAATGCGCCAACATTCAAACGCTTTTCGAGCAGACGTTTGACAGCTGATTACTTTGTGACAAGTTGGTGTTCTGCACATTTGGCGCAGACGATTCTTCCAAGATCCAAGAATGCAAGAAAATTAGAAGGACAACAGATTATCCTCTGACTGTTTAACAGGAGGAGGGTTTACTTCAGTGAAAATGGTACAGGAAATTTGTGCACTGCCCATTTATGGACAAAAACTGGAAAATGTCGCATCCGAACAGAACGTTCGAACAATGGCAATCGTTGACACAGACATTTACCCTCGAAAATCTGCAGACAATCAGGTATGTTTTCAAAACAATCTGAAACGTGTTGTCTTCAAATGTTCAGTATCTCTATTAAACAGTATGTAATAGGCTATAGGCTACTGTACCGTTATGGATCTAAAACAAATTCCGTCGAATTCAGACCTGGTCACGGACCCTAATGAATGCGCGTACATCACGGACGCAGGCAACTACCATTGTTTTGTCTCTTATCAGGTTGGGCTCATATCGGCAATAATCATGCATTTTGGTAATAGTCACCCATTTGAGTATCAATTTTATTACTGAAAATAATGGGGAATAAAGTGTAATGAAAACACTAAATCCAATAAATAACACAATGAGGTACATTTGTGCACAAAAAATATCAATTCTGATGTTTTACTTTTTGTGAAAAGGAAAAACCATATCACTGACTTTGTTATCCATTGACTTCAGTGTGTAGTCAATGGGACCATCCAGTGCAAATGTGACACTTGACAGTATAAAAAAGCATGATTTTTTTCTGCGTGCTATTAATAGCTATCCTACTCTATAACACACTATAAGCAATGGAGGTAATACAATTTGTCATTTTAACAAAAATATTACACAACTGAATTAACAGATTTTTGTGCACAATTGTACCTCATTGTTTTTTTAATGGATTATGTTGAAAGAATGACACCCTTTTTTGTCCATAATGTGTAAAAGACATTTAAGTAATACAATTGTCACTCAAATGGGTTCAGTTCTGTTACCCAAATGTAGGTTTATTAGCATATGCATCGTTGTGCCCAACCTGTCTATATATCCATATTAAAAATATCAATTCAATTTAAAAATAATGCTGTTATATTATGGAATGCAGTGGTTTGCTTTATTTTACAGTGTTCTAAGACTCGGACTGTGTATGATGTGGTAGTGTTGAAACAAATGCTGCAGCGAATGGACAAGGAACAACAACTCAATGACTGGGTATGATATACTCAGTACATGTCAAATTTAAGATTACATTTTTCAAAAAGGGTACATATGAGAGATAATTCAATCTTGGTCCCAGGGGTGTGACATCACAGACATGACTTACTAATTTTCAACTAAGTAATTTTTCTTGTTTTCAGCTGTTTTTCAAAGTATACAGGGCTCACCTTGGACCTAAAAAATTAGTAGCCAAAAAAAGTAGCCATGTTTGAATTTCAGTAGCCATTTTTTTTAAACAATGGCCATACTTTCTCGGCCTCCAACCGAGATAGGCCCTCCATTAAAATCATTAATTATTTAATATTTTTTGAAGTGCACTACTATTCAATATGATGTTAAATTAAGGAGTACTCTGTTAAATTTAAAAAAAATGTTATACATCATGTTTATAATTTAATCCATAATGTGATATTTTTTTAATCCTTTCAGATTACATGGCTGTAATTTTAAGAAAATATAACTTAAATTAAAATGCTGAAAATTTCCACAAGAACTTTTTTTATTTGTTTTTTCAAAAGAGAAAAATCAGCCTATACTATAAACATCAAATAACATGACAGGGGAAACATAACTGCATGGGAAATTTATGTGTCAAAGATGTCTCTGACATGGTGTCCATTAATTAAAGCTCCATTTATAGCAAATTATGGCTTATATAAAACAAAAAAATGATTGATTGATGTCATCAAGTAGACTGTATTGAATTTGCTCCAATTTATACCTTCAACTACATTGTGTCTTATTTTCTATACAGATTCTTTAAAATACCAACTGACAAGACTTGTTCTGATATTTTCATATTCATTCTACATTGTCGGGGGTATCTGGACATGTGCTTTAAGCCATACAAATGTATTGAGAGTCATTAAGACATCTGTTGGGAAAGCCTTCTTGTGTCAGTAGATAAGCAGAACTTGACTGCACATTGCAATAGATCTGTTGGTTGGTGTGTCAGTATAGGTTATAGGTTCAATGCCTTATTTTTTGGATGGTATACTTATTGAAGGGGGAAACAAGAAGAACAATTTGTTTGGCTATCACCCTATCTTACCATTCAAATATCTTTATCACATTGTGGAACATGTCTGTTATCTTGTTTCTAACCCATATATACACTATCAGCTGGGTTTTTTCCATGAAATTATATTTTATTTATTGTAGTGTGTCCACTTGAACAAGACAATGCACACATCTCAGAGAGACAGTGCTGTTTCAACCATTCGATGCTTGACCATGTTTTATGGCTTCAGTTGTGAAACATTTGCTGCAGCAGTGAATTTCTTGGACCGCTTTCTCTTCAAAATGAAGGTACATATTGTATTTATACCAAATCAAGGCCGATCGATTACCCAAAAAAGGTCAGATCCATTTTCTTCAATTAGCATACATTGGGGCATTACTTTTTATACGCACGTCAAATTTGACAGGAGTATTATGGTATGGCGCCGGCCGGCATAAACTCTTTGTTTGTCCGGCAATCTCCTCCTTCATTTTTCGACTGATCTCTTTGAAACTTGGTATACATTATAATCATGATATGAAGTTGTGTCTCCCTTAAAAGAAATTTAATTCAACAAACAATTTTTCCAAAAGTTATTGCCCTTTGTTCATTTCAGTATTTAAATTTTTGACCGGAGATTTTCTCCTTTATTTTTTTATAGCATGTCAGCTAACCTCTTTTAGAATGATGCAGATCTTATTTCAAAAGTATATAACACTATATGGCATTCGACGGGCGTATATTGTTCCGCCCTGTGGTACTCTTGTTACAAAAGGGTAACCAACAGTAATGATGAAATTATATATGTATAAACAGGTCTATCGTGTTATGTTTGACTTCTCATTTTTGTGTTACAAAATACATTTGTCGTGTAATGAAATATCTGTATACACTAAGTTTGAACATAAAGTATTGAATAGTGATACTTCTCATTTCAGGTACAACCCAAATACATTTCAGTTGTGGCTGCAGCTTGTTTCTACATTTCTGCAAAGTTTAACGAAGAAGCAGAGGTAAAATATTTCATGTGCAAATATATGCGACAAGATATGACCTGAAAGTGTAAAATGAAAGCAAGCTAGCATTACATTAACTTAAAAGTTTTGAGGCCCGCTAGGCCAGAAGAATTTCAATGACTTGCCATTTACATGATCTCACATTATGTGAGGCGAGAGAACTCTTGAGAAACCTTCAAAATGGCATTAATCCCATTTCATTTATATATCAATGAACAAGAATTCAAATTCCACAAGCAATGTACGTAGATATGGGTGAATTTATTTTTAACATTAAATATTAAAAAGGGAAATAATTTAGTCCATTGGTTTGATCTGCTCGATTTTTAAATTTTTATATGAGAATATATTATCATCTTGAAGGAAATTCCAAGTGCATCAGAAATATCCTATCTACACGGTCAAACATGGAAACCTTCAGATCTGAAGAGGATGGAAATGGTGATCCTTGAAAAGCTGAAATGGGAAATATGGCCTGTGACATGTCCGTCCCTACTGAAAACTCTCTGTGATATCATCTCCTCCCTACCAAATAGACACCAGTCTCCAATACTTGATTCCTTGCTGACCAATTTCGAAGTTTGCATAAACTACAGCTCTTGTGCAATTTTTAAGGTATTAATACCTCCTGCCTGTACAAAAAGGCTGAGGTCTTCATTTGATCAAATGTTCATGCATGCTTAAAATTTGTCTTCATTGTACAGTAAAAGGAAAAAATTACCAGATTAAACATTTTACCAGAATGAATTTTTTCACTGATGGCTGACCGTCTGAAAATATTGGCAAAGACTGTTTCTACTTCAATTGTTATAATCTAACAGCACAGTTTAGTACAAGGATACTGGAATAAGGTTTTCTGTAAATATTCTACGAACGCCATTAACAAACCTTTGTATATATGTGAGAACCATATTGTTTTTACAAAAAAAGGCCTTGTACTTGAATTATAATTGAGACCATAAATAATTTCCTGTTAGAATAAACTTTGTCTTCAACTTTGTTAGACTGCTGAATACTGTCCTGTACAAACATGAACTTCTCCATCCATTTTGCCTTTCAGCTTATGAATAGGATTGATTTATCGTGTGGTAAACAGTCTGACCTGTTGTATTTTATGAGAAAGTTCAATAATGAGTATTTCCTTTATCACATTTACAGAGTACCACCTTAGCATTGGCTTTGATTCAACACTCAGTGACTGAAATGAATATTCAAACATTTGAGATGAATCAGTGCTTACTTTGGCTTCATGCAGTCTGTCAGGTAAAAAACATTTTCCAGCAAATTATCCACTTATTAACCATTGGTGAAAACTAAACTATATTATGAAATTGACCTTCATGGAATGTGTAGATCCATGATAAATAATATTATACAGTACTTATTAATCTAAATCAAAATTTTACAACGAGACAGATATTTGTTGCAGATCTTGGTTAACAGCAAAAATATAAATGTTGCAAATCAACCCAGAACACATTTTTCATATATGTTGAAATTTCATTCATAGGTGCAGGACTCAGAATTTTACGAATGCTTCTGTACTGTGAGTGGAATTCTAGATCTGTATAGGAGCCAGCCAGGAAGGCATCCAAGCTGCTTGAAAGTTCCTAAACCTCAAATTAGAATGTCTCTAATATCCAGACCCAGCTATTATGGATGCACAGACTTGCCCACAATAGAGGAATCAGATTCTGACATGGATGGGAGGTAAACAAATGTAGTCACTGTCAATGATTCATCAGCTTTTAGTATACAGAAATACTGTGATGTCACAAACAGTACATTACAAACCTTTTTATTAATTTCTTGTAAGATTTTTTTTTTTTTGTAAGGAAAAGCATTCAGACTGTTACGCTAAATGGAATTCAATGTATATAATATACCATTCGACAATTGACAAAAAAACCACTACTATTCCCTCTCCCAGTTCAGTCTTCAACTGGTCATAGGCTAGAAACTTAAATGAAATAAGCAACAAATGCTTGCTGTCTAAACATTGTAACAAATCAGTTTTCTATCTATGCCCAAAAAAACTTTGGCAGATATGACTATTAAAACTGCAAATTAGCATTTTAAGTGTGTTCATAATATACATGATTAACAGCATGCTGGCTAGTGTTAGCACTGCAAACATTTGTTCCTTGAAATTATGTTAAATGCCTTATGATGAATATGAAGACCAGATGTGAATTGTGTTTTAAAATTATTTCATTGTCTTTTTCTAGTAATGACGAGGAGGATGTTTTTGAAGTTCCAAAGATTACTGATCACACTGATGGCAAACTGAAGAGTTGGAGTTGTTGTGTGTTGCCTGAAAGGTGTGTAATGTGTGAAATTCACTGAAATATTTATATTATCATGTAAAAATGTTATGACAGAGTGGTCCTAGAAATCCACATGGGAAAAAATCTACTTGTGTTAATAGTTGAGTCAATTGTGTGTAAATGGTGAGAGAGGAGTGAGAATGATACATTATTTATTTCAACATATCACATTTATGTATTTTTTATAACTGTAAGAACAACTCTCAGTGGTCTAGCGTTCTAGTCCAAGCGCAAATAAAACTTCCAAGAGTTGTCTGCCTTGCCAATGAGCACCACAGATTGATGAGAGTGGTTATGATGGGGCAATAGCAATTGATTTCAGATCAACATTTGTGCAATTAATAGAATATAGCTTTATTATTATTATTATGTTGAAAAGGATTTTAGTGGACAGTAGGTTCAGTAGTTAAAATGGCAAACATAATCTCATCCAATTGATGCAAAAGGATAGACGTGACTTAAAGAATTGATGCAAAATGATGGGTGAACAATTTCCTGCATCTATAAACCAAACCTGATAATATCTTCTGAACTCAAAGGGTTTTATTTAATGAGACAGCATAATTAAATTTCATCCACACTCAAAACAACCTTATGAAAGTTTATGCAATTTTCAGAGACGGGTATTTTAAATGAAATTGACATGTCTTTTTTGTTCCTCCAGTTCCCTACAAGTTTAAAAGATTTAACATATTTTGTCATTTGGCCTTTTTTTGCCGTACAAAGAAAACCGTTTGGTTGTCCTTTAACTAGTCTTACAATACCTGTTACATGATCAGATTAGTTTTTGATGTTTTATGTATTTGGGAATTTTATCTATCACCTTTGTTTAGTATATTTCAATTTATAAGTAACAGCTATCTTCTACTACATTTTAAGCATTCTTTTAAGATTACCACTGTGATTTGGGTTGTAAAATCAACCTGTGTGTTTTTATCAAGTGTTTAGACTAATATAATGAATTCTGATTAAAATGCATGTTAAACAAGGTTTTATTATGTCTTATTTAAGGTTAACTCTTTGCTATTTAAGTTGTTCAATTTGTAGTTTTTTAAAAACATGTTCAGCACAATTTTATGCTTAACTAGTTATTGTTTGCTGATCAGTTAATTATTGAAGTGCTTCACTGCTTGTTTAGCCTATTTGTTCTGTTGAGAAAAGCCCATAAAGCAGTCATTTTGAAAGAAATAACATTTATTTAGTTATACTTTGATCTAAATTTTATGTATATGTGCAACAAAATTTTGAGCCTATTTTTGTTTGATAATTGGAAATGTGAGAATATCATATTCACAAAATTCTGGATAAATTTCAACCCAAGCAGAATAGTTTAGGTTACCATCGGATGGTGTAGCCTCCAGTTTTCTTATTTACATTTTCACTGTTCAAGGAATGTTAATATAATTGAAATAATTGAGCAGTAAGGTACAATGGAATTGAAACTGTTTAACTGGTAAAATGTATAATAAGAATTCAGATTTATTTTACTTGCATGGAACTTTTAAAAAACAGTTATCTTTTTATTCTTTAGATATGGTATTAGTTGATTGACATCTGATAAATAAGTCTTGTAGTGTCTATTTATTGTCCAGGAAAAAATGTTTATTGTTTATTTATTGATATTTATTGAAAACGATTCATGGATTAGGCCAATGGACTACTACCTTATAACTGTACCATATATAGACAATGGGCTTTTCAACTTCCAGCATGAACATTTTTATATGAAGTGACCAGTATTGCATCTTGTATATAGATTCATTATAAATCTCATTTCATTCACATATTTATATTTTTATAAAAAAAAAATGAATAAAAATACTATTTATTGATATGTTTCGTTTTACACTTTGTCTATCTAAAGCATAGGCGTAGCAGCCATAACGCAGAATCAAGTACAGTAAAAATGTTGATGTATATTAGTACGCCAAACCACCTAAAATACATTAATTATGTAAACCAGATAAGATTTTTGTTATCTTTTTTAGAAAAACGTATGCTAAGTTATTTAGTTAGCTAATAAACAAGAGTTATCTCGCTTTGGACAATACATCTGCGACACGTAACGAATCGACATGGTCGAAATTTAGTATAAACAAACATGGAGAAAACAAGGAAAATTGACTCCTTCTTTAAACCAAAAACCAAAGACGATGCACCTGCTGAGAGTCCCGACGTTACCCCTGGCGATTCCGTGGCACGTGCCGACATATCGACAGTTGTACCTGTCCCACTACTGGCTCCACACTACCCTGACTTGGGAACTAAATTATTTTTACATATAGCGTGGTTGGTGTTGTTCTGACGCCTTTTCCCCTATATGTTAAAAATTACTAGCTGCCCATATGGTTATTATGGTTAATTCCACGACGACTCTATTGATTTAATTGCCCGCTGATATCAAGAGGAAACATACGCAACGAAGTAGGAGCAATTGCAAAGCTAAAAGTAGTCAAATCGATCAGCACTCCAGGAAAAGGTATTCCAACTCGGTAATATAACCTCGTCTTGAGTCGTTGAAATATATGCCCCATTCCCATATGGAGCATAACAAGTTGCCCTTACCAAATAATTAAAATTGTTATACTAACGTCATGTGTTATTTACTTTAATGGAGCAAATTAATAAACCCATGCCAGAACACGGGAAAAGGCTTCTGAGCCCTTCTAAAATCCTATTTTTTCCATGGGATACCCCCTCCCGTACCCACCCCACCCCTCGTGCTACGCACATCGGCGTGATGCCTTCGGCAGCACACGTGGCGTAAACAAGTCAAGTGGTCCGCTACGCCCCTGTAAAGCATAATTTATATTTTAATATAATTTGTGCGGCAGTCAACAATCAGGTTGATGATACATAATTCTCTAAAGATAGTTTAAGTTTCTAGCTTTCATGTTCATATTTTTATCTTGAAAAAACAGACCTGGTACCAATATCTTAATTTTAACACTACTTCTAAAGAAAATATGCTTCATTGGCAAACAAACTTGGTACATGTCCAGATCTTAGTCATTCTGAAAACTATTAAAAATGCATCAAGAATTTAAGACGTTGATAGTATGGTTGGCTAGGTAGAAGAATTGCTCAAAATGCATTTTGCATGAAAAACTCTCGTGTTTTATTTATATTATCAATGTGTCAAGAGTTTGTTAGTGGGGAAGAGGGGTAATGGTTTACTTAGGACGAGTTTGTATTTCTTGATCCCTGGGTACTGTTGCTTATATAGGTCAATCAATGCTATTTAGTCAACAGTTACCCGACTTCAGGACTAATTGGGTATTCATCTATTCACGTTTTCTAGTTAACATTGACATCTTTGATCCATGCAACCTTACAGATAGACCAAAAACATTAATTTGAACAAACTTTATAGTCCTTAACCCCAGTACACTACCGACCATAATACATTACTGAAAATGGTCCAGTGAAGATGGTATTTATAGCACTTAGCTTACAAACCTGAATATTTCTAACCCATTAAACAGCTTCCAATTTTGAGCTGTACATAAGTATTAGGCCCCTACACAGTTCTAAGCGACACATTTCTTCAGTATTGTATCAATGGATTGATTGAAAAATTGTCATCAATGTTACCAAAGTCATTTGTCTAAAAAGATCATAAAAAATAGGCAGTATTGCTCTTAAAAAGACTTAGTTAAGCAACATGTGTTTTGACTCCACAATGTGATGTAAACTGGCATTGAAGCACACGTCTTAAAAACTATGGTTTGGAGAGTTGAAAATATTAAAATGAGATTATTATTCCTCAATAGCTTTTGTAATATCAAAGATGGGAGGCTATAAAGTTTCCGTCTACCCAATCTCCCATGGCGGTCCTTGACCCAAAGTCCACTGTCAATGTTCGCTAATCTAATTATGACGAAGGCTTAATTATTGCCATTTCGCGATAGACCTCAACAAAGTATACCGGAAATTTTTTTAAGCTTTAAAAGGTGAAAAATGATTGTACAAAATAAAATAAAAACAAATTTTAAACATCTACTCATGCTCTCTCATGACGGTTTTGTAGTTCGGGTATTTCTGAAAGACGTTTTTCCCCACTAAAAACCCCGATTGGTTTATATGGAGGGGGTGTCGTTAACGCACATACCTCCTAATAGTTTTGGAGGGTTATTTCACTATCCTTGCTCGATCAATAAGCTAAATACATTACGCTTTTCGGCTTGGATAAAGATGGAAAACGATATGTATACTATATTGCGAGTTGGAGGTTGTAACGTCCCTAGTCGGCTATACACTGGATTGTCAGTGCCTACCACCGTGTTATACGACACCTAACCCTAAGGCCTCTAATTGGCTCATATCGATTTTATCTGGCTTGTTTTAATGATCTCCCGAACCAACCTACGGTAATAACTATTCACTTACACCGAAATCTACGTCAAAACATGTTATGCCCTCGTTAGTATCTTCTCTGACACGATTCCCTGTCAACCGCATTGCTGGAAAATGGACAGTTCCTGTATTTAGGTGGCTACGGAGTTGAGTTATTGCATGCCAGTATTGGGCAAATCCAAAACCGTCTACTAGGTGATTGACGCCTCTATCAATCGCATGCCTAAAACTTGGCTTTCGCTACCATTGTTTCGTGTTTTAGAAAACAATTGAAACTGTGATTGGTTGCCACAACAGTTGTCCATGTTACTGTCATCTTTTCCTATGATCTTGGTAGAAATATTCAGCAATATTGAGCTCATTTGCATTGCCAATAGGTCCAACGAACAAACATAATCCCTTGTGTACTTTTTCGTTTGCTTGCTCAGATTGCGTAAAAAATCAAGACTGTACGTTAATACTGTATAAAATTCGCCAACAGCTCACGGTGACAATTTATATGTATTGAATTAATTCCGCCCGAGAAAGTCTGAATCTAACGATCGGAGAGAACGGGTATAGGCGCATACTTTACAAGCCGGGCTCTTCTCTGCGCAGTACAATATCTGGGCAAAAACCTGCGCTGGAGAGATTTTCTGCAAAATCTAAATCCATCTCAACAGTTAAAGTAGTAATACAAACTGAACGTGTGAATAACATTATTGAAAAACAAAAATAGGTAAATTAGCAAAAGGTCCATATGGTCTGCATCGGTCACCTGATTCTATTGTTATATGGAGGACCCAGTTCCCATGGAAGCCACGTTCTTCCCTAGATTCCCTGGTCCCGTGACCAGGGGCGTAGCGTCCATAGAAAAAAAGCTCGGGCTTACACATAAAAAATCCGTGTTTGCCATTTGTCAAAAAACTAGCCACTGAAACAAAACAAAAGATGACACTATGTTATCAAGATAATATTTTAATTGACCTTTGTATTAATCTTATAATACTACATCATACTTTCCGGAATATCTAATATGTCATGATCGTCTATTACTTCCAATCCGGTATTGTCGGTGTTATAGTATGTTGACAAAAGTAAATTTTCAAAATGAAGAAAGCTTCCCATATTTCAAAGAAGCTATATATCAAAGAAGATATATACCTTCTTCAATCCAAAATCAGGTAATACTGGTTCAAAAGGTGACATAATCCCTGTTACGACGTCGGTTACTAAAACCCAAAGCAGCGCACTGCAAAGCACGTGGTTGTACCCTCCAAATCCAAGAAAGACACTACAGCAAGGACCGTTGTACATTGACATGGGATTTAAAATCAAAGCAAGAAATCAATTCAGAACAAGTTGTCCCCAATCTATTGACAACACCGTCTCAATGACAGGGCCTGGACACAATTGAATTTCCTTCAATGTAGTTTAACGATATTGTCGATAGAAACTACAAGAATTAATTTTTCTAATGAGATGATGTGATGGAGACTTCTGATACATTCTCGCAGGGAAAATATGAATTAGCATTATTGTAAAATAAGTGGGACCCAGACCTTCTCCGTCATGGTATTTAAACTGGTTAGAAAGAAAATAAACTCCTGGTAGCATGACTGAAAAAAATAGGGTAGATTGGTCGGGATTTATATACTTTTCTCCCACAATCATTATAGGTTTCCTCACTCCCGATTCATTGGATAAACATGCTAGGAGTTGGTAAACATGTTTGGTTACCAACTAGTGGGTAACACCCTGGACGTGATTTCATTGGTCAATTTTTTACTTATGACGTCACGTAACAATGCTTTGCGACGTTATCTTCCATTGTGACGTCATGATCACGGCAATCGTTTCCACCATCGGATGCATACAAAGTGTACTTTCAAGGGAAACATGTGGCTTTCCAGATAAAATATGAACATTATGGGAGAAAAAGGATCCCAAAATCGTGATGGTAGAATATCATGTTTATCTAACTCTCGTTAGTTAATTTTAAAATTGTAAAAGACACTCGATAAACCTCGTGTCTTTATACGTTTTTAAAATTAACTAACTCGAGTTAGATAAACATGATAACAACCATCACTCGTTTGGGAACCTCTATATAACTTATAGAACTTTAATTATATATTTTTCTCCTTTTGTATTGAGGGGGTTGGGGCAAATTCCTTTGATTTTATGAGCTGCTTTTATTAACTTACTCAAAATGCGTCTGATAAGCAATGTCTAAAAGCATAATAAGAAAAGTAATTGATTCAATATATGACTATAGTTTAGCGGAAATCAGTTTCACTTTATATTTTTTTACTGCATAGTACCAAGACAAACCAAGACCGTCTTTCCACGCTAAAAATGCTACATGTCCACAGAGAAATTTCTATCAATACGTACAACGTAGTACAGACCTTCATAACACAAAAGGAAAGGAAAGTGTCTTTTATCTAGACATTACTAGCTGTAAGCTGTAAATTGCATGTTGACTGGACAACGTGTAGTGTAAAATAAACATAATAACGAACATCAGTTATGTTCATTTCAGCGCATTTGACACTAAAATATGTCTTTAAATAACTGTCTCGGATAACAATTTGAATGCATCGTCAAATCTTAAAAGTCATTTT